GGGGGGGGCAGGGAGGGTGCCCACCCCCAGCCAGCCCTGGGACCCCCGACACGCCCCGGGAGCTCCCAGATCAGCCCCAAGACCGTGGACACCCTGGGATCCCCCAGCTGGACACAGGACCCCCAGCGACCCCCGGGACCCCCCCAGTCAGCCCCGGGACCCCGAGCCCCCCCTCCCAGCCACCCCCAGCCGCCCGACCCCGGGCCCGCCCGACCCCCCCCAAGACCCCCCAGACACCCCATTCCACCCCATCCGCCCCGGGACACCCCAACCACCCCCAGCACCGCCTTCCCAAAACCCACGGCCATGCCGGGACCCTTCCGAGCAGCCGCAAGACCCTCCAGACACCTCGGAGATCCCCCTCCCAATCCCAGGACTCCCCCCAACATCACCGGGACCCCCCCGAGCACCCCCCCCCCCCCTCCCGGCCCGCCCGAACACCCACGGCCACGCCGGGACCCCGCTCCCACCCAGCCCCGGCACTCCCGACCGGCCCCGGTTCGGGCAGCGCTGCCCCCGCCGCCTCTCACCGGTAAAAGGCCTCCTCGCCCAGCGGGTACCAGTTGGCCGTGTAACAGTCCATGGTGCGGCCGGGACGGGGGAAGGGGACGGGGATCGGGGGGATCGGGACCGGGGGGGAATCGGGACCGGGATCGGGACCGGGCGGTCCCGGCGCTTCCCTCCCCACAGCCACGCCCCTCACGTGATGCCGTGACGCCGGGCCGGCCGCCGCCATCTTGGGTGAGGGCATTGAGAGGAAGCGAGACGGGAACCGCCGCCATCTTGGGTGAGGGCACTGAGAGGGAGGGGGGAAAAGGGGAACCACCGCCATCTTGAGTGAGGGCATGGGCACCCACACCCCTCTGGGTCTGGGGTGTCCCTTGACCCCCAAAGTGTCTGTCCTGTGTCCCCCAGTGTCCCCTGCCTGTCCCTCAAGATGTCCTACATCCCCCAAGATGTCCCCTTGCCCCCAAAGTGTCCCCTGTCCTCCAAGATTTCCCCTGTCCCTCAAGGTGTCCATTGTCCCCTAATGTGCCCCTTGCCCCCAAAGTGTCCCCTGTCCCCCAAGGTGTCCCTTGTCCCACAGGGTGTCCCCCATTCCCCAAGATGTCTCTTGTCACAGACACTGTTCCCACAGGTCTCTCTTTATTTCCCACTGCCGGAAATCCGGGAAAGGCCCTCGCAGCGCATCTGGGCACTGCCAACACCCTGCAGCCACCCCACACGTGTGTGCCAGGGCCAGGGCAGGGTGCCAGGGCAGTGCCCCGTGTGCCAGGGCCGGGGGCTGGAGTGCCAAGGTTGGGATCAGGGGTGCCAGAGCCGTGCCAAGGGTGCCAGGGCTGGGGTGCTGTGGCAGCATCTCTTGTGCCAGGGCTGGGGTTTGGGTGCCCGGTGGTGCCTCCTGTGCCGGGGTCAGGTGCCACGGCAGTGCTGTGTGCCCCAGGCTGGGGTGTCGTGGCAGTGCCTCATGTCCCGGGGTCACAGTGACGGCACAGTCAGTGCTGAGGCTGCAGTTCGGGTGCCACAGCAGTGCCACGTGTGCCAGGATTGGGGTGCTGTGGTAGTGCTTTCTGTGCCGAGCCTGGAGTGCCGTGGTGGTGCCTCACATCCTGGAGCTGGGGTGCCGTGGCAGCACTTCACATGCTGGGGCTGGGTTTGGGTGCCCTGGCAGAGCCACAGGGGCCAGGGTCGGGGTGCCATGGCAGTGCCTCACGTCCTGGGGGCACAAGTTGGTGTTGCTGTGCTGGGGCTGGAGTTGGGGTGCCATGGCAGTGCCTTCTGTCCTGAGTTTGGGGTGCTGTGGTGGTGCTGTGGTGGTGCCATGGTGGAGCTTCATGTCCCGGAGTTGGGGTGCCGTGGAAGTGCCTCATGTGCCAAATTTTGGGTGCCGTGGAAGTGCCTTGTGCCAAGTTTGAGATGCTCTGGTAGTGCTGTGGTGGAACCCCACGTCCTGGGCTCGGGTGCCACAGCTGTGCCTCGTGTGCTGGGGCTGGAGTTTGGGTGCCATGGCAGCGCCACACGTGCCGGGGTCGTGGTGCCATGTCGGTGCTGCTGTGCCAGGGCTGGGGTTGGGGTGCCACGGCAGTGCCACGTGTCTCAGGACCCCTGTGCCACGGCAGTGCCCCCCATGCCCGCGGCATCCCACTGGCGCTACTCGGCCTTGGCGCCGTCGCGGGCGCCCAGGTCGCAGCGGTAGTGGAAGATCTGGAAGTGCAGGATGGTGCCCAGCAGGGAGGGGCTGGAGGTGCCCACCCTGCGGAATCCCTGCCCCTCGTAGAGCCGCTGCGCCGCCACCTGCACCATGGAGGTGCTGAGCACCACGGCGCCGAAGCCGCGGGCGCGGGCGAAGGCCATCACCTCCCGGCACAGCGCCCGCGCCAGCCCGCGCCCGCGCTGCTCCCGGCTCACCGACATCCGCCGCAGCTCCAGCGCCCCGGGCGCGTCCCGCGAGGGCACCGCAGCCACCATGCCCACCACGGAGCCCCCCACCTCGGCCACCCAGAAGCCGCAGTCGGGCGCCCGCAGGTACGTGCCGGGGATGTCGCACAGGTCGGTGCCCAGCGCGTCGCGCACGTACTCGGCGCTGAGGGAGCGCACGAGCAGCCAGAGCAGCACCAGTGCCAGCCCCACGGCACCCAGGCCCAGCACCCAGGACCCGCCGCCCGCCCGAGCGCCCACGAACACCACGAGCAGCACCAGCCGCACCCGCGCCAAGCGCAGCATGTACCGGAACCCAGCCGGGGCGTGTTCCAGGATCCCGCGGGCAAACAGCGCCCGAACCACGTCCGAGTCCTGCTCCCGGAACGCACGGATCCGGAACGACGCCATGGCACCTGCGGGGGCACAGCGGGGTCAGGGATGGGACAGGGGGGACAGGGATGAGGGTACCTGCGGGGGACACAGCGGGGTCAGGGATGGGATGGGGGGGACAGGGATGGGGGTACCTGCGGGGGACACAGGGCATCAGGGAGGGGACAGGGAGGGGACAGGGATGGGGACACCTGCGGGGGACACAGTGGGGTCAGGGATGGGACGGGGGGGGACAGGG